AGTACAAAGATTATTTATTGCCGGTAGAATTAAAAACAGCAAACCATTTTCACAAATCATGCTCATAAATTCCTATTCATAAATACTTATTCACCACTATCTAATACCCTTCAAATCATTTCATTCAATTAATTTAGTCGGTGAGTAAAGATGATCTATTTATCGGTGAATTAAAAATAGCAAATCAATTTACAAATCATGCTTATAAATACTTATAAATAAATTTTATTTACCGTTCCCTAATACTCTTTAAATAATTTTATTTGCATTAATTTAGATTGTGAGTTTAAGAATGATTTATCAAGTAGTGAAATTCATAAATACTTATTTATCATTACCTAATACATTTAATATCTTTCAAATCGTTTCATTTAGTTCGTGAGTATAAAGATGATGGTGGCGAAATTAAATACAGCAAACCATGTTCATAAATACTTATTTACCGTTAACTAATACTCTTCAAATTATTTCATTCAGCTCGTGAGTATAAAGATAATTTATTAATCGGTGGAGTTAAATTTTATAATACATATCTACCATTACCTAATACCCTTTTAAATCATTGCATTCAGTGAGTGAGTATAAGAAGATTTATCAAATAGTGGAATTACAGTAAATCAGCAAATTATGTCACAAATAATGTTCATAAATACTTATTAATAAACATTCATTTACCATTATCGACTACCTTTCAAATCAGTTCACTTAATAGGTGAGTATAAAGTTGATTTTATAAACAGCAATACATTTTCACAAACCATATTCATAAATACTTAATCATTACATTATATTATCCATGCTATAGAAGCTATTTCTGCATATTTCAACGATATGAAACTATTCAGCGGTTTCATATCAAAAACAGCGTGGAAATATGCAGAAATAGTTTCTACGGTATGTATACCTAATACCCTCAAAACTATTTTAGTTAGTGAGTATAAAGATGGTTTATTAATCAGTGGAATTAAAAAAAAATAAATAAATGTTCACAAATCATACTTATTCATAAATATATTACCTAATACTCTTCATTTTAGTTAGTGAGTATAACGATGATTGACTTGTGGAATTAAGTCATGTTTACAAATTATGTTCAAAATACTTATTCATAAATATTTATTTCCCATTACATAATATCCTTCAAATACTTTTCGTACAGTAAGTGAGTATAATGATTATTAGACTAAAAACAGCAAATCATGTTCACAAATTAGGTTCATAAATACATATTTACTATTATCCAATATTCTTTAAAAAATCTCAGTTTGTGAGTATAAAGATGATTTATTAATCAGTGAAACTAAATCAGCAAATCATGTTCATAAATTATGATCATACTGTAAATACTTATTCATTATACTTATTTATCATTCATTACCTAATAACTTTCAACATATTAATTTAGTTAGTGAGTTTAAAGATGATTTATTAATTAATTGAACCAAAAGTAGCAAATATTGTTTACAACGCTCGTAAATACTCATAATTACCTAATACCCTTCAAATCATCTCATTCACATTAATTTAGTCAGTGAGTACAACCATGCTTTATTAATCAGTTGAATTAAAATCACTAAATCATGTTCTTAAATACTAATTCATAAATACGGTTCTACCACGGAATCTCGATATTCAAAATCTAGACAGTACAAAATCCTGTCAGGTTAAAATCCCGACAATACTAAAATTCTGATGTCATTTTATGATTTTAGTATTTTTGGTATTTTAACCTAACGGCAATTTTCAAGATTTTGAGTGTCGGGATTTTGGATGTCGGGATTTCTGTGGTAAACCCCATAAATACGTACTTACCATTACTTAATACCTTTCAAATCATTTCATTCGCACTAATTTAGCCGGTGAGTATAAAGATGATTTATTAATCGGTGGAATATTACCTAATACCTTCAAATCATTTCATTCGTATTAATTTAGTCAGTAAGTATAAAGATTATTTAGAAAATCATATTATAAAATCATGTTTACAAATACTTACTCATAAATATTTATCATTTCTATTAGTCGGTGAGTATAATTTTGAAAGCCACAATAGATTGTTAATTATATAAAAAAATATATAATATTTAATGATGATTTTAAAGGGATCCTGAACACGGAAAATGTGTACATTGTAATAAAGACAAAACGTTTAGAGAATGGTGCCTGACATGTGATCCTGACATAATCGTTCAAGGATGGACAAGTAGAAATGAGAATATTGATAATTGCATCAGAGAATTTCAATTTAGAACCTTTAAATATGAGAAAGTAATTGAATGGATTCCATTCAATAGATTATTCGATGTTAAAAAAATTGGCAAAGGGGGATTCGGCTCTGTATATTCTGCAACCTGGTTGGATGGCATTCGAAAAGTTAATGATAATTATATAAGAGCACGTGAACCATCCAGTATTGTTGCACTTAAGACATTGACAAGTTCTAAGGAAAATAATTTTGATCTTTTAAAGGAAGTAAGTTAATTTTATTGTTTTTATAAATTTTATAACAGCTTATTGAACTAATTCATGTTTAAACTTTAAGTTTAAAAGTCTTATGAAATGTAGCTTAGATGTTAGCAAGCTCGCAATATATGGAATAACTCAAAACACAAAAACAAATGAATTCTTGATGGTATTTCAATATGCTAATAAAGGGTGCCTTCATAAGTATTTAAAAGAGAACTTTAGTAAGCTTACATGGGAGACTAAATTACAAATGCTTAAAGATATTTCAGATGAATTAGACAGTATTCACAGCTTTGGAGACTACATTCATGCTGATTTTCATAGCGGCAACATTTTACAAGATCAATGCAATAACGGAAAAACACAATCTTATATCGCAGATCTTGGTTTGTCTAGAAAGACAGATGAGAGCATTTCAGAATATGAAATTTATGGAGTCATGCCCTATGTTGCTCCTGAAGTTTTATCAGGCAAGCAGCAGTTTACACAATCAGCAGATATTTATGGGCTTGGTGTTATTATGGCAGAAATGTCGACTGGACAAAGGCCTTTTGATGGACGTAAATTTAATATTAAACTTGCAGTAGAGATTTGTCAAGGATTACGCCCAGATTTTGCTCCTGGAACTCCTGACTGCTATGTTGAATTAGCAAATAAATGTATGAATTCAGTGCCACATAAACGTCCTAGTGCTATTGAAATTTTTAATGAATTTTATGGTTGGCATAAAAAGTTAACTTCAAATGATGAAGATGAAATTAAAAAACAGTTCTTAAATGCTGACAAAATCATTAAAACATTACCAACAATTTATCAAAATCATCCTGATCATATATATACTAGCAAAATTATTAGTACACAAAAAATATCAAATGCAATTAAAGGTACTATTTTAAAAAATTAATTAAAAAATCAATATTATACTGTAAATAATTAAAATATATTTAATTAATTTTAAATAAGAATTACCCACAGCACCTATCGAATCTGTTAATATTCCTACTGGTGAGTACTATTACAATATTAAACTTATTTATAAATTAACAATTTTATTTCTAACTTTATTTTATTGGTTAAAAGTTTGAATAATTACTTTAAAGATATAAATTTATCAAGTACAATTAAGATATTATTTAATATTAAAAATTAACTAAATACTTATTATTTATCAGATTTTTTATATTGCAATGAAATATATACAAAAGAATTTTATTGCTTTTTAATATTTATCTAAATATAAGATTATTGGCATTTTATTATAGTTTATTATAATTGTTTTTTATTAATTTGATTATTGTGATCTATATAATTATCTATTTTTTAAATTATAAAAAATTGAAGTTTACAAAGTTTACATGCGTATTAAGTAATTAAATATGTGTCTATCAACTAACTAAGATGCAAGAATATATCTGAGATACAATATAAAAATTTTTATTTTTAATATTGTAGCTATAATGCAATAATTGGTATTAGAGGTAGTTGTTATAGGAAGTATATTAGTTATAGGTTTAGATGATGAAGTTGCTTGTGGTTGTATAAGTTGAGGTTGGGGTCTAGAAGCACAGTAAGAAATCTATATATTTGTGTATAATTGTTTGTTGATGTGAAGAAGTAGTTGTATAGTAATTGATTTAGCTATTTGATTTGATATAGTATATACTGACTCTCATAATTATTGTTCCATTTCTTTTTTTTATCATAAATCACGATATTTCACATTTTATAAATCATATGACCGGAAAATTTAGGTGATGTAAACCCTACGTTCTAGATATTAATCTGACCAAATTTTGGTTAATGCCTATTTTGTGGCTTTTTAAAAAACCTTCGATTATGCACTTTTCATATGGTGCAATAATTATGGCATATTTATTTAAGTAAAATAAAATATGCATTATGATGCATCGATGCCAAAAATGTATAAATACTTGCCTGTTAATAATAGTAAGTATGCAAAGGAACTAATATAACAATGAAAGCGATTCCAATTTCAAAAAGGAACTACATTTCCACCCTTCTTGAAGAAGGTTATTCTAGCTGTACTATTGCTTTTCATGAGAAAGTAAGCCATAGTACGGTCTTAAGAATAAAAAATTTAGTGAAGGAAACTGGTTGCTTGGATGTTTTACCAAGGCCAGGCCGCCCCAGAATACTTACCACTCACCACGAAAGAAGAATAGCGCGGGAAGTTAGGTCGGGTACATGCCCAACTGCCGTCCAAGCCCAAAAAACTAACATCTGACGAAGGTGTTTGTGTTTCCACGTATACAATCTGCCACATACTATGGAGACAAGGTCTCGAATCTCAGGTAAAGAAAAAAAACCTCTACTTGAACCAAAGACCAAAAAATTTCAAAGAAACTTCGCAAGACAATATCGTAATTGGACCGTCGAAGATTGGTGAAGAGTCATTTTTCAGATGAGTCAAAGTTTAAGATCTTTGGTTTGGATAGACGAGAGTGGTGTTGGAAAGACCCGAATTCACCATTGTTACCGCAATATGTAAAGCCGACAATGAAATATGGTGCTATATGGGCGTATACGGTGTTGGAAACTATTATAGAATTGAAGGAAATATAAATAAGGAGCTATATCATGAAATCCTTAAAGATGAGTTAATTGGGATGATGCAAGCATGGCATTTGACTAACAATGACTTTGTCTTCCAGCATGATAACGATCTGAAACATATGTCAGATATAGTTACTGACTGGTTGGATGAAAAAGGAATCGATGTTTTAACTTGGCCGCTGTACTCTCCCAATCTAAATCCCATAGAGCATTTATGGGATGAAGTTAATCGTCATTTGCAAAAACTTCCCGGTAATATTTCTAGCAAAATGGATCTGTGGAATAAGATACAAAAGGTGTGGAATGAGATCGATGATGATTATGTTTTAAAGCTAATCGACACGATGTCTCAACGAATTAAAGATGTCCTTAAAGCTAAAGGGGGGTATACTAAATGGTAAATTTAGAAAAAAGAAAAAAAAATTAATTTAGTTAAAATAAATTAAAAAAAAATTAATATGAAAATTTTTTTGGTTTTGTGCCAAAAATATTGTTCTACAAAGATTGTGAAAATTTAAATTTTTTCAAAAAAAATAATAAATATTTTTTTGCGAAATTATAACATTTAATAAAGGAAATTAAGGTCTTTATACCATTAAAATTTGATAAATATTTGCTTTATAAAACGCGAAACATCGCGCTCTAAAAATTTTAAATACGGTGGAACAATAATTATGGGAGTTAGTGTATTTTCAAATTGTATATATGAGTGACGCCAAGGGAAAAGAGATACTTTGATCTATTGGTTTATCATGTCTGTCTAAACAGGCTTTCAATTTTAGTGTAATATAGCAATACATTACACAATTTTTATAATATAAAAATTGTGTAATGTATTGCTAAGATTGAAAGTCCGTTTAGACAAACATGATAAATCGATATATCAAAGTATCTCTTTTCCCTTGGTGTTACTCATATAATATCTAGTAGGATAAGTCCAGAGAGTGTGGAAAAGATTGAAGGTTTGTCAGGAGAGTTGTGTGTTTGAAGGCTATCAAGATTGGAGATTTGGTTGTGCAATTGACAAATTTGAGCTAAAGAGATTTGAAGTTTGTTAGAAGTTAGAATTGTTTGTAAAGAATTTTGGATAAGATGATGTAGAGGGTCTGGAGAAGAACAAATAGCCTAGTGTAATGTAGTGCTTGTTTGTTGACAATTGTGACAAGTATTAGAAAAAGAATAGTTTCTTTTATGTAAAATATAAGAAATGGAAAGTTTATCAGTAAATGACTTAATTCTAAATGTTTTGAATATAGAAGATTGGAAACTGTAGGCAAAGTTAGAAACTTTTTGGTTGTTGTTAAGATAAAGCCAAGTTGCATCTCAGTTAATATGCTAAGAAATTTGTATTCATAGTTAGAAATGATTTTAAAAGAACCAGGTAGCAAAAATATTTGTATAGTATATTGTTTGGATGCTATAACAAGTAGGAAATTCAAGAGAATAACTGTCTAAGATGGGAATATATACATCAGCAAATTATATAAACGTAATCTTACATAAGATATTATGGCCCGTAATATTGCGCAAGAATTATGGTCTGGACATAATATTGCGCAATTTATTACATAATATTACGCAATTTATTACACAATTTATTACGGAGTATTACGTAATTTATTACGGAGTATTATGCGATTTATTTCGAAATATTTCGAAATATCGAAA